GCCGGACATGCCCACTTTCTCATGGGCTGACTGTTTCACAAATGAACACCTTCTCTCTCTTCCTGTCCTTTATCTCATCCTCAATGTCTAATTTCCCGCTTTCTACCTCTCCGTCTATTTATTTGACCCTCTGTCCTTTACACTATTTTTGTTTTTGTTTTTTTTCTAGTTTGTTACACTGGTGGATGCGCAGCGCCAAGCGAGGTGACTATTTGTTGTAGATTAGTGTAGATTTTAAAAGCTAAACCACTAAAAAAAAAAAGAAGGAAGAAGAAGAGAGAATGAAATCATAATTTAGGCTCTGCTGTCACTTTGCTGCTTAGATTGAGCGGAGGTTGGTTGTCATGAAGCAGGATGTTAGTCAGACCATTTCACGAACACTCAGTTGTAACTCTTCTCTGTCAGGTTCAGGCAACTTTTTCTCCCCTTCCTGTTACATCTTATTTATTTTATTATTATTTTTTTACTACTATCTACAATTTCACAATCCTGACTGCTTCTGGTCGCAGATCAAGCCTCTGAAGAGTTATTCCTGAGTGTTGAAAACAGTGACCTGGCTACATCTTTTTCTTTTCTCCTCCTCTTCTTGCTTTGTGGCCTTTCTGTCTTCCTCGAGGCTAATCCGCCACTCTGACAGATGCTTTAGTTTTCATTTATTTTATTTTATTTATTTATTTATTTTTTGCCTCCCTCAGAGAACAGCCAGATGTAGAAATTGGATCTTAGATGCATTCTGTGTTTTTCTACTCAAGTGGAATGATTATTTTTAACAGCATGGCATGATTGTAGCTGTAGTGTCATTATTGCAGACGTTGCTTTAGGTCTAACCTAGAGTAGCTGGTAACCATCACATTGGGGTGTTTGTTAGTGTACGAGTTTACAGGTGCTTGGTCAAATGGGAAATATAAAATATGTACATGTCACATGAGCGTAATAAATGCTACCTGATATTACTCTGTCAGACAGGATTCTCAAGAATGTGATATTTGGTAGCAAAACTATTCTTATGACGTAGATTTGCATCAATCAGGCTTTTACTGGCCGATGCAGATTTTCCAGCTTTTCTGAAGGTCTTGTTTCTCGATTTCTGTTTAATTTCCGGCTACATTGGAGATTTTTTGGCTCAGCGATGATTTGTTAAAGCTCTGACTTGCCCATGCTGTTTTTACCCGACTCAGTTTGGGAACTAAACGTAATGGCAAATATTTTCCTTTTTCTACTTTCTGAGCAAATGTAAAAGAATGTAAACATGCTTAGGATGATAAATCTACGAAGAATAAATGCATGACATGAATGAAACAATACAGACGTAACAGAGGTGTTTCTCTTTGGGTCAATGAAAAATGCAAAAACAGTAAAAACCTCACGGGATGGTTTGGGATGGTGCTATCTATAAATAATGAAGAAATGCCTCGTTTAGTCCTCTACAAGACAAATTCATAAACAAACTTACCTGGTTTGTCACATGCCTAATGATGTAAAAATGCACAATATCACAAGATTTTTCCCCACAAGCTCATTTAGTTTAGAATAAGCAGATACTCCACTGGGATATTTCTAACATCTACTGATCCCAGCATGTTTCATGACGTGCAATATGGAACATGATAGTAATAACTGGACTTTATAATTGTTTTGTGACACAGGACACATATAGCTTTCCTTGAAAATGGCTTTACGTGTTTTGTTTTTTCTTATTTTTATCTGCAAACATACTATTGCTAAAAAAAAAGAAGCATAATCTCTTATCTTCCTCATTCAACAGTGTTCATTTCAGTGCAACCTGGTAGTTCTGAGTTATTGACGATTTACTGGAAAAGTGTCTAATTTTTAGTTTCTAAGGGGCCAATCGCTGACCCTAATCAGCGAAACTGAAAGAGTAATTTGACAGATGTATAATCCACTAAAACAGATACTTCCCAAAACTATATGCCTGTGATCCTTGTTAGATTCTATTTTAGATTTGACCAAAACAAAAACATTTTTTTTGCTGATGTGGATGCTTTACTTGAAAAAAAAAAAGTCTTCCGCTTTAATGTGTTCATTTAACGCGATTTCCTTCATTTTCGAGTATTTGACATCTCTCCAGTAAAAATTGGTGGATTGTGATGTGATATGTTCAATGATTTTAGTCAATAAAACATATTTGGTGTCAAAGCTAATCCAGATATTTGACAAATGTCATGCAGACACAAAAAATCACAAAAACAAGTCAAACAAGCGGGGCTTTTTTGTTGTTTTTTTTTTCCCCTACTTTTTTTTTTTGTGATTTATTTTTGTGTCAAATGTGATTCGGCTTTTGATCGCTGTCAGCCTATGGTGGGTCCATGTCTCTGCCTCTCATGGCCTCAGGCGGCTTTACTTTTCTAGTCATGTCTGACCATTTAAGAGCAGGTGGGCTGATTTCGACACCAGAGGCTTATAAGTCACTTCCTGGTCAGACTAAACCCAGGAACATGCCTCCAACTTTGCACCGAAAATAAATATATAAACATATTTGTCTTTTTGCATTTGTTTCATTCTGGAAATTTTTGTTATATATATATATATATATATATATATATATATATATATATATATATATATAGATATATATATATATATATATATATATATATATATATTTTTTTTTTTTTTTTTTTTTTTTTGGAGTGCAGGTGCTCTGTACTCTGCTCTGCACTGATTGAGTACGAGTAATAATTTTTTCCTGCATGGTGTTTAAAGACCATCTCAGTCACACCGATCTATCATGTTACATTTATCTCGGATACTATAATAAACTGCTTTGTTGCCTCTTTTTTTTTTTGTGACCTCGCTCCGTCGTCGTGCTGCTGTTTGCCGTTTGTCGCCGTCGGCTTCTGTCACCTTCCTCTTTGTGCTCAGACCAGCTGGAGGTGACATGACTCTTCTCATCTTTGCGTCCCACTTCAAGGTGCAAAGTCCTTCTGCAATCCCTTTCAAGGGCGCTGCAGCTGCATCTTGGTTACACGGCGTTGTGCTCTCCGAGTGCTGGTAAATCTGAAGCACTTAAAGGCTCTCAAAGGATGTATTTGCCATCAGAAGCGAGCAATTATCACTGTAAAGAGATAAAAGGTTCTTTTCAGAAACGTCAAATGAGGAACCTATTTAATAATGCCTATATTGTTCACGTTATATCTAATTATTTTTGGATGTTGGGCAGACTGTAGATGCCAATCGCAATTCAATACACCTAATAGCGGCCATGTGAGACACAAGAGGCTTTGCTTCACAGATCCAATTAATGCGACATAGATGGAAACCCCTAAGACTATTATACACTACAAGGTCCTGTGACCTAAAATCATCTCTCTCAGCTGGCATGAGTGCGAATAACACGAGATTCCGCGCAAATATAAAATGCCAGGCCAGGCTTTGCATATTTAACATTATTAAAATGCCAGCACATTCAAAGCTCATTTATTTCTAATTTTATCTGCAACCTTGACCACTGCTGAGACATTCCAGTGGAGTCGGGGGGGGAGGGGACTCTGGATACAGTCAAATCTGACTAATCCAAAATGGTGGTTGTCAGGATTTGTGAGACTTAGAAAAAAAAACCCACATTCATCTTAAATGTATTCCGAATATTAAATGCTCATTTTAGATCTCAGGCCGCTCCGCTTTGTCTTCTTGGTGGCGGTCCGGCCGAGTCCCAGCAGAAAATTTGGAGAAAGTATGAATTGTTACCTCGCTGACTAATTTGTTCCTGTTGACTGTTTGTGTGGCTGCTGGGTTTGGATTTGTGGGGGCTTGCATAAACAAGGGGCTACTATACATATTCACAGATTAGCATACATTCTATTTCAGGACTTTAGTGCTTCTTCACAAGTAGTCAGATTTACAAACTTGTGTGTTGTGACTAATTCTGGTTTTTATTTACCGCTGCAAGAATTTGCTGCTTCTGAACAGAATATAGAGCAGATCCAGACTTAGTGACTTTGCTGCATAAATAAAAGATTTTCATGGTGGGTGAGGTCAAAGCCCTGACAGTTTGCCACATTATCGTTTGCATTTCTTGTGTTAATACCGAGCTGTGAAGATTTGATTTGCTTTCAAGAAGATTTCTTCTCGTTTTTGCTTTGTCGCCACATTAAAAGTTTTAGATTTTGAAACAAATTTTAACATCAAAGATAAACTCAGAAGTAGAAATAAACTTCTTTATAATAAGGATTTCATTTTGTAAATGAAAAAAAACTATCCCAAACAATCTGATCACGTGAGAAAAAGTAATCAACCCTCTAAATCTGCTAACTGTTGTTACCGTCCTGGGCAACAATAGCTGCCATCGAACAGGTTTTGGCCTACTCTTCTGTGCAGAACTGTTTAATTGCTCATATATTTATTTATTTTTTTTTTTTTTACAAATTCAGCCTGTTTAAGGTCATGCCACAATATCTCAGTCAGATGAAAGCCCAGCACTTTGACTAGGCCAATCCTGAACCTTCATTTAGCTTTTTTTGAGGCATTCAGTTGTAGACTCGCCGACCAGCATGTGACCGCCACCACGTTTGACTGTCAGTATGATGTTAATGAACTAAAATGCTCAGTCCACAGAATATTGTCCCTATAGCTTTGAAGATCATCTAGATTTTTCGTTGTTTGTTTGTTTTTCCTGTTTGTCCACAGCAAACTTACTTTTCACACATGACCAGACAGGCTTGGTTTGATAGTTAATAATGTTGTTGCTTTTTGTTTGGGGCAGGAATGTAATTCTTAATGCAGCTTTTGGTATCTTTTATTCATTTTGACATTTTGTCATTAAATTGGATGAGCTGTAACTCAGTGGGAGGCAGATCTTTAAACAATGTAATTAAGCCTAAACATAAATGAAAAGCCCTATAAAACACAAACAGCAAACCCAGGAGGGGAAGGGTTATCACTTCAGTGCTTTACGCTGTACTTTAAAATAATCCATCAATATTTAATTTTATGTCTGCTCCACCAGCGTTCATAACTGGGTTTAAATCTTTCCCCCGCAGATCGACCCAAAGGTGGCGTTTCCCCGCCGGGCTCAGCCTAAGGTGAGTGCCCCCTCACAGATGAGTTAACAGCGAGGTGATGATGTCATATATCACCCCTAATCCCTACATCCTGGTTGGCTGGGATAAGACTCGGGCCCGTGACCAGAAAAGAGCTGCAGTTCACTTGTTCAGCCTGACACCGTGACCACATTCTCTGCTCCCTGACCCCTGACCTGACTCCTGAAATGACACAGATGCATGGTAGTTCCTGCTTCCTCATAAATTCATAGGATTCATACATGAACGGACGCAGAGCTGAGCACACGTCAAACCCGTAGAACTAGCAGGCAAATCCTTGAACAGAAACGTGACACCTGCCAACGTACAGTCTGTGTCTCATGAAGGACGTCTTCTCGTTCTGATTGTCTTTCCAGCTTGTGACCAGGACAAAGAAGATCTTTGTCGGAGGACTTTCAGTCAACACAACCATCGAAGATGTGAAGCAATACTTTGACCAGTTTGGAAAGGTGAGTTTTTACAAACATGCTGTGTTCAGGCCATGTTATCCTTCATGGAGGCAAACATCTGAATGGAGTTCAAGATAGTTTTATTTTTCATACCATTGCCCTTGCTGCTACATTTTTTGCTGCTTTGTTGTTTTGTAGTTAGAGTTGAGGAATTAATACTCTACCCATTGGTTATTTGCACGGAATGAGTTGGGCATACACAGTCGCTGTCTGACTTCCGCGCTGAATCTGCGAGGACGTCGGAAGGGGCGAGAGTAACACACATTTGCATGCAAGGCTTGCATGCAGAGACGTATGAAGAAGGCAGTTTCTCTCACACAACACTTGCTTTGCAAATTTGTCAGCCTGAAAGTTATGTAGCTTGTGAAATCGTAATTAGTCGGGTAGATATTAGATTTATCAGTCATGTGATCAAATGAACAGAAAATAAAAGTTTTATTTCCAATTGGGATTACAAACATCCATCAGCTAATAAGCAAAATTTGTTTGTCTTCTCTTTTACTCTGATGTGTTCTGACTACTTTTTGCTACAGCTAACAAAGAATATCTATGCATTTTTATATGCAGGAGCAGGGGAATTATGTCCAGTAAAACACATGTTCAAGTCATATTCTGTCTCATTTGCAACTCATTTTTTGGACACTCATTTTACAAATAACGTTATTTGTTTTCTTCTCGTTTGGCTAGCCGTTAGCCAGCTTAGCTAACACTGCTTAAACCTTTTTTCTCTAAGAAAAAAGGTTTAAAATAAATGGTCTCATCATTATTTTTGTCATTTATTCTGAACTTTTCATTCATTTTTTTTCTCTTGCCTTTTTGCCAGTTATGTTCTTAGCTGAGGCGTTAGCGTCCCGTGGACGACTCATGGCGCTTTTTTAAAAGAAGCATTTCAGCTTTTATTTGTTGCTAAATCAAATTAGACTGCAGGCTTTCCGTGTACTCTCACACATGTGAAGGTTCGCCCTACAGAAGATCAGGTGCCTCTGGGCAACCCCAGATTTCTGCAAACCTTTTCTGCTCCAAAGAGTTTCCTTTGAAAAATTAGGAGCAGAAACCGAAAGCGCTGGTTGACACTAAACCTGACTCTGCATTCATTGGTGTTTTTGCTAATCTGCCACTGCCCTAACTCAAAAGTGTTCATTCGCTCGCCGCCTTTGTTTTGCTGTTTTGCTCATTTCCAATCAAATTGCCTGGGGGGGGGGGGTTCAGCCTCGGTGTTTGTCCTTCTGTAGCCTCTTTGAATGAAATTTGGTCAAAGAAGCCCATGCTGTGGAGACAGATGAGTGGCCGGGGGAGAGGGAGGAAGAGAGCAGGAGGGGAACAGAAGAGAGAGAGATGGCAGGGGACTGAAAGGGAAGAAGTAGCCCCCCATGGAGACAGAGGAAGGGGATCTCTGGGAAGGTTGAAGGGCAGAGAAAAAGGGAGGGATGCTGAGATGGTGAGGAGCATAAGTAACTGTTAAAAGACAAAAATACATAAAATCTAGTCTTAATGCATTGCATTTTGAGTTACGCTGAGTTGTACTAACTTATCAAAAACAACAGCTGTGCCGTGCTCCTCCTTGTCCCCCCAAAAATCAGTTCTTCAGACACCATCCCACTCCACACAAACAGCCTGCTCCTGCCCCTCTCTGCTTGTTGCTGTGGTGACCTGCCTTCGCCCATTGTCCTGCTGTAATCCAGTGTATTTTTACCCCCCCCTCATCCCTTACCAAAAAAAAAAAAGAGTGAGAAGTGTGCAATTGCATGAACTGGAAGATGTGTGTGTGCGCACATGACGGTGTGACAGTGGTGTCATCGTCATGGCTGCAGAGGGAGGCGAGCTTGCATACATTTGTGGAGACACAGACAGACAGTGGGGCTCACAGGCACTGATCCAGTTGTCACAAACATTAAGTGTGCGCCTGTGCTGCTGTCGGTGAGCAGGACAGTCTGAAAATGAGCACCGCTTTAGGTTGTTGGCCTAATGGGTTGGAAGAAATTAACAGCGTGAAGCTCCTTCTGTCTTGTGTCTGGCTGGGCTTTTTCTATCTCTCTCTGTCTCTCTCTTTTGGCCTCTGACTCATGCCTGCGCTATTACCATATTTCAGGTGCTGGTTCAAATTTAAACGCCTTAATTATTAGTCACGGATGCAGATTCCACGTGTGACCATCACACCCGTTCAGGTAGGCCGTGCTGACACGGATGAGCTTTTCTAAAATGGCAGTTTGCGGTTGTGTGCTGAATCAGTTTTCCTCGGTGATTACACACACTCATATCTAAGACAACAGTCCCTCCGCGGGGACGAGGGAATATTTGGACTGTTTGGACATGTGAGAGCAGAGCCGCATCACGGATAGCGGCAATCCCACAGCGCATTCCCGCTGAGCAAGAAGTATTCCTTGTTTATTATCTGAGCCGGGCTGCAAGGTGCAGGTTTAGATGTTACAGAGCCCAGTGTCCTGTTTATTTTTTTATACCGTGGCTCTGCCTCGCAAGAAAAACACAGAATGCACTACGCGTTTTGACGCAACTCTTTGATTCTCGCTGGGATTTATTTTTTTTTTGCAGCAACACATCTCAAAGCAAACTTCATGCGAGTGCGTGTTGACGTTGATTTTTGTATATATTTTTTTTGCCGTTTTCGACCAAACCGAAGAGGTGAAGGTGTCTGCTTATGCAGGTTTTCCACCTGAACAAGTCTCAGCTCCTGAGAGCTGGCAACGTTGGTGAACGTTGCCAGGCCAAGAAGACTGTAACAAGCATGTTTGTTTGAAAAATTCATCCGGAACCTGAGGTGGAGGTCTTGAAATCCCCCCTCGGCCAAGAACAGTCCTCTGCTTTTTGGCTGAAGCTAAAAATAGAACTTATTGACGACCCAGATGTGTTTTAAACTGGTGCTAACCATCAGACCATTTCATAATTAGCATTTCAGATCTTTTGCTCACATAGCTTCTAGTTCTGGTAAAGCCAGGGAATTCCTGTTTTCATACCTCTTTATCCTACCTTCTCCACTCTGCATACCTAAAACTAGGCTACCTGACAAGGAAAGACTCATTTAAACCCCAACCCCCAGTCCAGCTTTTTTTTTCCTTTTTCTTTTTTTTTTTTAACTCCTACAGCAAAATGAGTGGATATGTCAGAGCTTTAACCAAAGAAAGAAGTGGATAAGACAGAAAATGCATCACGTTCGTGGCAGACGGGCGGGGGGAAAAAAGTTGGGACTCCGCTCACCCATGTGAGCTGGCGATTAGAAGGCTTGACTGAGCACTTTGTCTGCTGGCCTGTTTAGAAAGAGATGGCCGGAGAGCCAGAGCGAAAACCAAAGAGGGAGATGTGAAGAGACAGCGGGGGGAAAAATGTGAATGCCACCTTTCATAATCTCTCAGAAAAGTTTAATGGACTTGTCAGCAAACACTTGTTCTTTGGACAATAGCCGTACGCTTCGATGGCAATGGAGTATTTTTAAGCCTGGGCTCGAAAGGCTGCTCAGGATCTTGGTTGACCCTTGTTTCTGTACGTCTGGGAAGCCAGAATTTGAGAATACGGCTTAACTTTTCTACTCTCCAGAATAACTAGTGACTGTGCTGCTGCTGCTCCTGCTGCTGCTGCACCAATCTCAGACTCCCACTGCTATGCAATCAGATTGTTTTACGGCACCCTCGGAAGAGGACATCGTGAGAGCAACTTTCTGATTGGTTTTGGGTGTAGTCTGAGCTCGCACACATGATTGAGTGCTTTACATGCCTGCAGACCTTTACTTGAAGCACTAGCTTTTTTTGTACTTTAGAATATCTTTTTTATTATTGTCATTATTTACATAAATGTCGAAAGCCACAAACATAGCGTTTCATTGCTGTATCTTCATACACGCTGCCAATGCTATGTACTGTTTTCCAGCATCCAGTATTGGGTAAAACTTTGACCGTGTGAAATTTTTTTCAATGAGTTTGATTTCTCTTTAAGGTGTATATTATAGTACAAGAAGAAATAGAAACATGAAGCCATAAGAGCAGCGTTTTTTTAGGCAATGCTTAGAGGTCACACACCTGATATAGAGGTTACAGTCCTGCAAATCTTTAACTAAAGCACATTAGCATTGTTGTGCATGTTATGTTTACTTTTCTACATGACAAATAGCAAATCCCGCTAATGCTAAAGGCAAGGCTATCTGTTCTTGTGACGATTTGAATTGAAAGCAGCTAATTTCCTGAATCCGATTTCTCTTTATAAAGGAGGAAAAGGTGCATAAGATGATGCACTGACAGCAGTGGTTCTGGCAATGTCCAGAACTTGCACGCATTTAGCTGATGGAAATTAACATTTTTGTCTTATTTTCATCTATAACCTTCAAATAAAGAGCACGCATGTTTAGCTATCTGAGTTTGAATAGATTAACGAGTAGCAGCAATGTAACTGGAGATGGACTGAACATTTTTGATGCTGATTTCCAATATCCAATTTTTCTAAAGTTTTCAACTGCCCAACCCCACTTACTATAAAACTGTTTTAGCTTTATAAAGACAAAAATGATTACATTAGTGCACTTTAGACCTCCAATAAGAAATTGCATTAGCAGTTAGCCAAGCAAGGATTATGCAAACAGTTTCAGTGATTATACTGTAGAATACAGATCCTTTGAAGCTTTTAAAAGGGGATTAATGCACTATAGATATGGTAGATGTATTGTAATTGGAGGGCCACTGTGCTTGGTATCAGTACCACAAAGAACTGTTTGGACTGCAAAGTGCTTAAGCTAATTGTTTCTGGCAGGTATTACGATTTTGTGACTGTGTTGTTTCATACATGTTTTCAATAGAGCCATATTGTTGGGAGTACAATAATGAATGTTTTCCAGAATATGGGTAGACTTTTTTACTATTTGTGGCTCATGTTTTCAATGAACCCATAGAAAACAACACACACACTGTTTAAGGATTAGCTTATTTAGCGGCAGTCACATCACTGTGCAGTACTCTGTTCAACCTTCGTATTATCTACTGAAAATCGTACTCTCTCTTGCAGTCCGTATGAGACTCCTCAAAAAGTCATGAAAACAAATTGCTTTTAAATTGCCTTTTAATTCTCTGGGCTTTCTCTGAGTTTAATTTTTAAACAATTTTGAACACCTTAGCCATACTGGCCAAAACGACTAACACTGAATCTTATTCCCTAAGTGAGAGCTTCTACACTGAAGGTTTGACCTGGTAATGATTTACATGAAACACCCCCCCCCTGATTTTTCTGTTTCTGTAACCACCCAGATATATTTATAAAACACAAAACAATAAAAGATTTAAAGCATAGGAAATAGATTAAAACCTAAAGGGATAAACCTGCCTGTGCGTTCTACACAGTCACAGATGATTAGCATGTTAGCATGCAGCTACCTATGTCGCGTCCCCACAGCTCTCCGCTGTGTCATTGAGTTTGGACAACCGGAAGGGCGGAAGACATGAGAGATGGTAATGGGGGGAGGATAAAAACTGAATGAAGGACAGAGATAGAGGTTGGGAGGAACTCTGTATGCGCATGTGTGTCGTGCGTGTGAGGGTGTGGGTATGTGTGTGTGTGTGGGTGGGTGGGTGTGTGTGTGTGTGATCAGGTTATACTTTGACAGAGAACACACAGTCAGGAAGGTTGTTAGAGCAACCTTGATCCCGCGTGTGCTCATCCACCTGAAAGCGAGCATGTCTTGTTTTTCATGTGAGATAAGTGCCTGAAATTGGACGGCTGGATCATCCAGAGGCCTCTGCTGCTCATGTTACACCGGCTTGAGTTTCACCTGATGTTGACACATGGAAATAGCCGTGTGGTCACACTCGGCACGTGTCCGCGCTGCGCCGCACACTCGGAAGACGGAAAAGTTTGATTTTGCCCAGTTGTTTGGCTTCTCTGTGCTCCTTCTCCTTATGCCATTGGATCGCCGGGAGAAGCTGCAAACTTTCCTGCTGGTGAAGGACAAGTGAGGGAGGGAGGGAGGGAGTGAGGGAGGCAAGGGGAGGAGGAGGTAGAATATGAATAGGGCAGTGGAGTGAGTGCAAAAAGGAAAGAGAGGAGGGAGAATAAAAGAGGAGCGTGCTGACAAAGGCCCTGAATCACTTTGCTTTGCATTTTAAAATTCACAATCTTCTCTAACAGTATTTCCACACTTCAACCCAACTTTATCCTCGACCGATTTTTTTGAAACCATCCCCTGATTTTTCTCCTTCTTTCACATTCGGTCAGTCTTGTTTTCTAGCCCCCTTTACTCTCCATCTCCATTTTATTCAGTAAAATGAGTCGTGCGGTAGAAAGGAGGGGAGGGGGTACGAGCTCTTCTAATTGAAATTCTTTACAGAGTCTCCATGGGAATGGTAAACTTTGCAGGGAGGGATAGAAAGGCTGTGCGGGCGGACAAACGAGAGGGAAAGAACGAGCTGGGAGAGAGCTGGACAAAGTTTATGAGAAGTGAAGCGAAAGAAAGACAAACGGGGAAGAGTTTCTTCCAACCCCTCCTGATTTAATTCTGATGCATCCATTTTCATTTTATTTAACTTTTGCCGCCTTTCTTCATCGGTCCTCTCCTCGCAGTCGCCTCCACCTGTCAGCCCTCCCGGTCCTTTGTCCCCCGTCCGCCCTCTCCATCTGTTTTCCCTTCTTACCCTTTTGCTGAAGAGGGACAATGGCACCCCATGCTGGGTAACGATGTGCGAGGGTTACGATGTCCAAGCTCATGTCTTCTCTGCTTTGTTTCTCCAGGTCGACGACGCTATGCTCATGTTCGACAAAACGACCAACAGGCACAGAGGTAACAGTTACTCACACAAACCTTCACCTCATGTAAACATGCGTTGACATCATGAGATGGGGGCCCTGGGAATGAAAGGAGAGGCAGCGTGATAGAGTCATTAGGTGAACCGCTGAAAAACAGGCTGCGTTTTCCCTCCAATCACATCACTTTGTCTTTCCTCCGCTTTTGCCTCTCCCCTCCTGCTCCATTTATCTCTGTCCGCTCCGTGGGTGAGGGCAGGGCCCGCCGAGGGTCGCCATACAGAGTCAAGATGGCTATGGGCGATGATGTAACGTAACGAGACAAGCAGGAGGAGATGAAGGCAAACGGGGACGACGGCGGCGGCGGGGGGGGGGAGAAAGAAGAGCAGTGAAACTGATGATCATCTGGGATCAGTTTTGAAGAAGCCACACCCACTCTAACCCCCTTCTCTATTATTCTTATTTCTGATTGACAACCGTGGCATGCGGAGGTCACCTCCCCTCTCTGCGCTTTGTGTTACGAAGATGAATGCGGAGCGAAATGTTGATTTGATTGCTTGTTTTGTTAGAAGGGGAGCAGACAATGATGTCGTTCCGTATTTTTTGTTTATTTTTTAAAATCTACTTCTGTTTATCTGTCTCTTTTAGGTTTCGGTTTTGTCACTTTTGAAAATGAAGATGTGGTTGAGAAAGTTTGTGAGATCCATTTCCACGAGATCAACAACAAAATGGTACGCGGCTGAGAATTACTTCCACAACACATATAATTTCCAGCTAATTAATTGCACTTAAAACTGATAGGCAGCAGTTTGTCCTAGTGCTCCTAAAATGACATATTATATATATATTTGTTGTAAATCTTTATTTTTCGTCATTATTTTGATTTACATGCCTAGAAATAATGATACATATATAAAAAAGACTTGCTTAATTTCCTGCAGAGTCGTTTTCAAGTTTTTTGTTGTGCAGAATATTTGCAGGTTTTTACATCCTGCCTATATTAGCTGGTTAATTATCCATGCAAGTCTGTGTTAGAGCCTACAATCTGCATGTTGATTATACGTTGCTAACTGCAGTTTTAAAATAGTGTTACCTTAAATTAGAGTGATTGGTTTAGTTCCTTTTTCTCAGAGGTGCTTGTTTTTTTTAATTTCCAAACAGAAAAATACATGTTTTGTGAGTGAGAGGGGAATAATTGTGGCCCTTTTTTTAGTCCGCTGACCAGCAGTGTGCAGCAACAAGTGGGGGAGATTCAATTCTGCATTTTCTCTTACATCTTACATGAATCTCTAGTATGTTGGAAAATTAAAGCAGGTTTAACCGGTGCATGTCTATGTGAAACTTACAAACTTATTTTGTGCAGATATGTCATTTTTAATAAACACTTACTAATGTTCACCTTGGTTCAGGTGGAGTGTAAGAAAGCCCAGCCCAAAGAAGTAATGACGCCGACAGGCTCCGCCAGGGGCCGCTCCAGAGTGATGCCTTATGGGATGGACACCTTCATGCTGGGCATCGGCATGTTAGGTATGAGCCACAGCTAAAAATACAGAAATTAACAAATGTAACCTGCCATAACCGGAGAGTTTTTGAAGTGAAACTTTGAAAATGGCTGCATTTTTGTAGATATTTGCCTCAAAACCTGCAAGAAGTTTTGAGGCAAACGCATGTCGACACGTTCTTCAGCTGCATTAATGACTCTGAAATATTGATTAATGCTGACGGTACGTTTAAGCATGATAAAATGATTTCCTCTGGGCTAAATATGTACTCTAGTATGTATTTTTACGTTGTGGTGGCTTCGCGAACACGCCGTCTCAGAAAAAGACGGCCAGTTTGCCTTGAATCGACGCCTTCCCTTTGGTGTCAGTGACGTCTCATTAATGGTGTGTGTCAAACACTGAAGTCAGAGTGAAGGGCTTCTATTGGAGGACAATGCATTTGAAGATATTCTCATTGAGAAAAAGCAGGAGCTCTGTTTTGTGTGGCTGTATTGCTCCCCCTACTGGCCATTTGAGATAACTCTGCGGTCAGTAACAAGCTTGTAAGCATTTTATAAAGCTTTGTGACAGTTTAAGATTGGAAATCCAGTGAAATTAGTGTCAATTTTTTTTATTAGTAGAATATTTTCTGTTTTAAGATTATTTTTTCTTTTCTTTTTTTACAGGCTACCCAGGTTTTCAGACTACTACCTACACCAGCCGCAGCTACTCTGGAATAGCTCCCGGATACACTTACCAGTTCCCAGGTACAATTTGTTTTAAACGTCCAACACATCTTGCAACCTTTTCAGAAGGTTTCTGAAAGCATATGGCAATAAACAACAGGAGCCATGTTTTCCTCTCAAGCTTTTGAGTCTTGCCAAAAGCAAGAGAACAAATGTGGATTAAAAGTGATTTGTCCTTCTCTTTGTTGGTCCAAAAGTTCACTGCTTTTCTTTCTGAACCCTGAGTATGAGTTGTTAATATTTTCCTTCAAATTTGTACATCTGTTTCTTCTTTCCTCTTTGGTAATTCTGTTTATTTGATCTACTTATGTAACTCCCTTTCATTTATTGCTCCTCCTTTTCCTTTCGCTCCTGACTTCCTGCCGTCCTTGAAGGATTTCTTTTTTTTTTTTCACTTTCAGTACTTGTGCCTTCGCCTTGCTGTTTTGTGTGTCTGTGGCTTTGTAGTTTCTCTGGTGGATGGTGACTGTATTTACAAAGAGCTCTCTCTCTTGACCTTCTCTGTTTCTAGAGTTCCACTTAGAGCGGACCCCCCTTCTGACATCGTCCCACCCCCCTGAGCTGGCAGGTCAGTGGCTCCTTTCTCTTCTAAAGGCCAAGGGAGTGGGAAAAAAAAAGAAAAAGCATTTAGCAGCAAAACATCAAACCAAACTGTTTGCCCTCGGAGTCTTTGGTGCTAAATAGAGATTAAAAACATCACAGGAGCCTTGTTTGCAGAAAAAGTTGGATGTAGTTGCAGTAGTTTCTGATTCCAGTCAGAGCTTTGTGGCCAGCTTCTGAACTCCAGCTTTTTTAGGAACAGATTTTTTACCAGATTTTGATTCCCCTAAATTGATAGCATTCAGAATATGTATCTTTTTCAAGCCATCCTTATTAGTTACTTACATTAGGAACAAAGGACGACAGCACACTGTGTGTGCGCAAGAACAGAAGTGATTTAAAGCGGTGTTTTCCTGCTTTAAAGTAAAAATGAAATGATTTGAAATGTTCTCTCAAGCTGTCTTAATGGTTGGGGTGTTGGCATGATTAGTGTGTTAGTATTAATAACTATTAACAGCAGCCTCTGTTTTTCCTGGAGCTATGGTTCTCAAACTGTGGCTTGCGTCCTGCTGGTGGTACATGGGGTTCTGCACAGAATTATCAGTCATATTAACTTGTTTGGAAGGTGAACTAATAATGTACCTCTTAGTGTTTTGCACTTCCAAACACTCGCAATCTGGTTGGCACTAATTTGTTAAAGATTAAATGAGATAAAAATATTTGCAAGTGTTAAAATATCTCTTATTTATTTATTAGAAAATGTTATATGCTGGGGAGCCATGTTGGACTTCCGGCTTTCAACTTTTGGGTAAAAGTGTTACATATTTATGATCAAGCAGTGTTGAGAGGTATTATCGACAAATTGAGAGGGCTTTTAAAAAGAATGTAACTCTTGCCATGTTTCAGTTCTGCTGTTTTGCCTGTTTCCACTGTAAAAACGTCTCACACAACCGACCCACACCGCATCATTTCTGGGTTCCCTTCGGTCCATGTCTTTGGACCCCACAACAGGCTTTTAGGTTTGGCCTCGCCAGCTGGAGGTGGAAACGCTCTCCTGACTACAGAACCGACCTGTTCTGGAGAACATAGTGAAAATGAGATTTTCAAAAAGCTGCCAGCATTTTTAAGTTCAGCTCGCGAGTGTTTCCTGAAGTCGGTTCCAGGTCACTCCGCTCCATTAACAGTTTGGCGAAACATTTGGCTATAAATTGATGTCTTGTGGCAGACAGCTATTTTTTTTGTGTATGAGAAAATCGGGGGCAAAATAACCTAAACTGCAAAGGTTTAAGATGGGGAAACCACCACAAGCCAACAAAATCCAACACTTTGATGCAGCCTAAGCCAGAGGTCTGCATCTGTTTAAATTCAAAGATTAAGTTGGTCCTTTGCTTCTAGTCAATAAAAAAAAGATCACAGTTAAATATATAACTACTGCATAAAATATGTGTTTCACTGTTAAATTAAAAAAAAACTGTTGTATTTCTATTTTGGGGATTTATTTAGAACAATGAAAATTTCACTTTTACAACAAGCAGATCAACCAGATCTCCACAAAGTACCAACCACAAGCTGTTAAAGGGCTGAAATGTGGTCAAACCTCCTTCTCTTATATAAAACCTATTTTAGTCAATGTGTGTTTATTTAAGCGTAAGAGCAAAAGAAAACGAAGTGGCTCTGTTATTTTAGTTCAACCTCAAAGCCACAGTAAATTGATTTGATCCAAAATAATACCTTCATTTCATTAAAAAAAAAAAAAGAGTTTTCCATTCATTTTATTCTGTGTTGACGTCTCCATGCAGATACTAAATCAAAACGTATTGGAGGAAGGCAGCCGCCATACAAGATTTTACTTTTTAGGTTTCGTAAATATTCGTACATGGACGTGAAAAAAGAGATTAGTGATTCAGAATGATTCAATTTTAGCCTGGAGAAGTAGAGAAAATTGTGCTTAAGCCTCAATGTGAGCCGATGTCAGTCAATTGTTAACATATCGGTATTGGTTTGATGCATCAATATTTTTAACTGATACGTTTCAGGAGGGTGGCGATATGTAATATCAGTGGATATCCGTTATCAGCCGTTATGAATATCAGATATTGATCTTGGCTCAAATTTTCCAATGGCTTATAACTCTTGAAAGCTCTGCTGCCGATTTGGTTGCGTTCAGGATCAGCTGAATCCTGTGTGACTAAGAAGCTATCATTAGGAAGAACATCTGGCAGCTGCCGAACACCCTGCCTCCAAAACCCCGAAATAGATCTTCAGCTTTTTTTTTTTTCTGTAGCACTTTGTAACTTTTTAACCACGAACCTAAATGTGTTTATTTCAAAGTTCGCTGGAATACGGCAATAAGCTGCAGACCTGGTTTGCAGACCTCAAACCAGGTCTGCAAGTGATGATTATTTTACTAATCGATTATAATGCCGATTGATCAGATAAAAAAATGGGCAAATTCTGAAGATTTTTTTTTTTTTTCAGAACCACCTGATATGTTATTTTACTACATATTCGAAATATATTTTAAAAATGCAAATAAATAACTTTGATTTTAATAAGAAAATAAACATTTTATTGTCAAAAATGCAATAATGTTCCATTCCTTAGCTCTTCATTCAACATCAGCACAGTGTAGGAGTGATCTGTTGACTATTTTTGTTTTTAATTAAACAAATTATAAGAGCAAAAGGTGTTTCTGCCTTTTTTTCTTTTTTTTTTTATTATGTTTTACAGAATTTGTACCCAGCGAAGCCAAAACTAGGACACCTGAGGAGTTCTGGGTAGAACAGATTTTTTTAAAGAAGGGTTTTTTAATCTTGAATCTATAATGTATATTAAGAGTCTGTACACTCCGTAATGACTAATCAGTATCTAAATTAGATGAAAATTATTTCAGTTATCGATTCATCGTAATTAATCCAATTAATTGTTTCAGCTCTGTTCCAAGACTGATGTGTTTTCCAAGGCCCAGTAGTTGATTTGCAGATTAAATGAGGTCACTGGGCGAAACTCAATATTAGCTAAAGCCTGTTGTCAGTCAGTGTTAGTGAGTTTTACCTCCCAGTTCCTGTGTTGTAGATGGAACCACCTTAAGGGGGAAATTCGGGACTGAGTAACTGTGTAGAGAAACTAAAATAGTATCAGGTAAAAGCTAAATCAAATGTGATATAATGACTGCAGAGGGTGCAGCAGACCTGTGTTTCTTCTCTCATGCCTAATAGGAATGAATTTCTCATAAAGGTCTTGTGAATGAGAGGTGTTTTGCCGTTTCCTGATGCAGCAGGACACGTTTAGGTCTGTTTATTGTCTACAAACGACCCAGATTTGCAAGCATCTCTTTGCAGCTGCGCTTGTAAACCTTCAGGTTCAAAACTTCTCACTCGGACATGTGACTCCGGGCGTTTTTGTTTTGTTTTGTTTTGTTTTTTTGCCCCACATCCAGTGAACCCAGAGCCAGATGCTTTATGACGTCGTATCCTGGGTGCATTTTTAACCCTCGTGCAGCAATTGGATTGAAATGCTGTGACAGATGTGTGAGCAGATGTAGATTCAGTCACAGTGAGCTGTAGATTATTGCTTTATGATGTGATATCGGAGAGCGGGCCACCGTGAGACGTTTGTGCTGTAACGCGGTTTGTTGTGTAATCCCCAGCCATTCCCCTCACTGCGTACGGACCAATGGCGGCAGCGGCAGCAGCAGCAGTAGTCAGAGGTGGGCTTCTTGTATTTGTGTGCTTGCTGTAGATAGAATGCTTGCACAAAAGCTTGCTTGGACAAATAAAGATGTATTTTTAGAAACGTGTGTGAGCGCGTGTGTGTTGTGTGTGTGAAGCCCTCTGGTGTCCAAGCCTGACTCGTCTCTCCTGCCTCTCAGGCTCCACCCCTTCACGCACAGCTGGCTTTCTGGGCACCAGCAGCCCCGGACCAATGGCCGACCTGTACGCTGCAGCCAACCAAGACTCAGGAGTCAGCAGCTACATCAGCGCCGCTAGCCCCGCCCCCAGCACAGGGTTTGGCCATGGTCTCGGGGTAGGTCATGCCTGCTACGTTTCAAACACATGCCAGGATGTACACATGTGCTCACAAAGAGCACATTCATTCCTGTCCCTGTGTCCTCAGGGTCCTCTGATCGCCACTGCGTTTACTAACGGCTACCACTGAGGAGGCTCAGGTCACAGAGGATCGGAGGTCTCCTCCTCTGTCTGCTGTTGTGCCAATCAGAACGCTGGCTGCCCCTTGATGGCGCAATCTGATTGGCTGGCCACAGGTCTCTAGTGGGCTCTCCTGGCACCGCGTGGCTTCACCCACCGACTGAAGATCTTTTTAAAAACCAGAACTCTTATTTTGCTGTACTAATCTCACTTCGACATAACGTCCCCGGTTCTTCTCTCTTTTTTTTTTTTTTTTTTTTTTTTCGTCCTCATGTAGTGCAACACACTAGTTCTCGCACATCCCACCGTTTTTCCTCGATTACAATTTCTTTCTTCTACTGAAGCTGAGAAGAGGAACCTGCAAAAAAAAGAAAAAAAAATTGAGAAACTGTTGGGGTAGGACAAAGAGGAACTGTTTTGATTCACTTTTTAAATGATTTTATTATAATGTGATGTGTTATTTTATCATGAAATCTTTCAGAAGCTGTTACTGATGTGGTGAAAAAACAAAACAAAAGAATGTGTGCGATGGGGGCATTTTTAACAAAGGAAGAACAAACCTGACAAAAAGTCCTTTTTTACGCTGCAACTGTCACTGAAAACACAAATGAAAAAAAAAAAACAAAACAAAAAAAAACAACAAAAATGTATATTTTGGTAGTCTTTAAAAACAAAAACCTTTGTAATATTGTTATTAATATTGACATAATAATGATAATCTGTAAGGTATTTTATTCTGTAATTGGTTTTAAAGCAATGTTTTTATGTCTTCCTGTAAGATATTGTACATAGAAGCAGGGAAGGCGGGAGGGGGGGCGGACGGCGGGTTCTCATTGGTTGGTTTTGACTGGATGTCATGTGCTACTGTCATCTCACTACTTTAACAGCATGCATATGGTTAAATATGCATACTGTGGGGCCAGTACGCTCTTGTGTTGCTTCAGTGCAGTGCTGAAATGCGCACCATTAGGAGTTTATCTGGTGTATTTTCTCCGTTAATTGACCAAATCGTCCCTTTATTTTTTTTGCTTTACTTAAGAGTCCAAAGTTTGACTCTTCCATCTTTCACGCAACTTGAAGTTAAACACAATGGACATCAGGAATAAAGGAAAAAATATCACCTTAAAGCAATAGAAGAAGCAGTGCAGGGCTAAAGTACATTCATTAGAATCTTATTTGGCCTATTTTCTTTAATTTTTTTTAATTGTTTTTTTGGTCAACAACAAACTTGTCACTTCTCTTGACTGCAAGAATAACTTCCTGCACATCCTGTTTGAAATAAGTACAAGGGTCATAATGACTTCACAGCAAGTTGCTCTTTTTTTAAGGTCATATTTATTCTTTTAATGAAGAAAGTCGTTCCTTTTTATCGCTCCACTCCTTCAAAAATGCAACCTGTGACAAATCACTAACAATCTTAAAGCTGTATGGAAAGTGCTGTTGCTATTCTCAACAATTCAAGGAGTTGACAAGTTTGCAAAGTCGTCCCCCTCACCCCCCTTTTATTATTATTATTATTTTTTTCTGTACTTCCTTAAAAAAAAAAACGCATGTTTTGCATTTTTTGCATGTTCACGACACTTGTTTTAGTTTGAACACGACACACTTATGGAAGGATCACCTCAAAGCGGGAGGAAAGCGAAAGTGCCCCTCGAGTCCATTTGCAGGATGCTTTCAGGCGCGTTTGCTCCGCTGATCAACAAAGTCGCCTGTTTCCCGCCTCACTTCTTCGGACGTGCGCGTTTTTGACGCTTGCGCCTTCACGCTACCTGTTTATCGACCGCAAAGCAGGAGAAACTGGGGATTCAGGGGGGAACCGGGCTTCACTTCCTCTTTTTGAAAATATATATATATATACACATATATATATTTTTGGAGCGGTTCTCTTAATGTTTCTGCTTTTCTGCTCTCTTATTGAAATAGATGTTTCTTTTTATGCGGTGTTTTCCACCGTGACGACAAATGAAGGACATTCTCAGAGAACGCAGTTGTAAAAAAAAAAAAAAAACCAAAAAAAAAAAAAAAAAAAAACGCAAAACAAAATAACAACAAAAAAAAAAAAAGAAAAGAAAAAAAACCAAACAAACCACGATCCTGTTTTGTCCTCTTATCACTGTTTGAAGGTGCATGTGGTTGCGTCTGAGCGTGCGTGAGTCCGTGCTTGTGCGCATACATCCAGAGTGTAACATGGAACTACTTCTAGCAGCGGAGGAGCATTTTGATTGCCTTTTTTTCTTTGGTACTGAGAGAAATAAAGAGAGAGAGAGCAAAGAGGTCACCCTGTTCCGTTTTGGCTCGCCTGACTGTTTTTTCCCGAGTCTGTGTTTCTCTGGAACCAACATATTATTGTTTTAGTGATGCTGCTGCTGCTGCTGCTGCGTGTGGCGGTGTACAGGCCGAGCCCGGGGAGTGGAACAGGGTGACGCTCCCAGCCGGTTCTGATACCCAGGCTGTGAACAAGAAGACTCTGGCTGGCAGGAAAAAGTAGGGAAGCTGGAGCAGATTTGCAAAAAAAAAACAAAACAAAAAAAACAAACAAGCTGCCTGCCTGTTCGGCCTCCACTTTTTTCTGGCACAGAAAACTTTCCCGATGCAGCCAGTGGCTCCTCTGTCAGACAGGCTGGGACGTGGTTTAAAAAGCAAAAGAGAAAGAAATAGAAACTACTGCTGGACACCAACACTGTAACTTTTTAAACGTACAATAAAGCAATAAGTTATTTTTTACCTTACAAATGAAAATAGTACTATTATTGGTAATGGCAGACAAGAAGTGGAAAATTCTGCGGCATTAAGACTTATTTTCTGGAAAAAGTGAACTATATTTTTCTGTTTTGAGATGTTCCCCCCCCCCCTTGTATATTGCTTTTAAAGATGCCTTTTTGTTTTGGTGATATGTGAAAAAGGGCCAATATTTGGTGCGGAGCTCTGTGTGAGCCTGGGTAAAAATTCAGACTGTCCCTCGCCAAGCTTTCCTTTTTTATTTTTATTTTATTATTATTATTATTATTTTTGTTTGTTTGTTTGTTTTCTGACTATTTCAATTTGAAGTTCCTAATAAATTATTCTAAAGCCATTTGTGTTAGTATTCTTGATTGTATTTTCTGCTGCCATGCTGCGCTCTCTTCATTTGGGCATCAGTTTTTAAATGTAGTAACTTGACAGCGTTACCGCTTATTGATTGGAAAATTACGTCAAAAACAATAAATAAATGACACAAAATTGGTCAAATCTGCAGTTTGACCCAAAATAACTTTCTTTTTTGACAAGTTTGTTAAGCACAGCTGTTATGATGACAACAGGATAACTGTATTCTGCTTTATAGTCTTTATGCGTTAAATGTACATAATATCAAGACTACATGTTTTGTTTTCCTGATTATTTTGGAGGGACCGACATGAGCAACATGCCGCTCCTCTGCAGCTCCTCTGCAGCTCCTCTGCAGCTCTGCATCAAGTGCATGTAGAAAACAATGCTGTGCTTTTACTGACTGACAAGACAAAACAAAAAAGAAGAAAATTAGCACACACACGTCACACCAGGTGGGAGACAGTAGGACAGAGTGCTGTGGCTGTGTGGGGAGCCAGATCAGAGTTGGTAAACAGTCTGATCCCCTCGCTGACGGTCAGGAGCTGGACTGAGACCAGCCGGGTCACAGATCATCTTCCACTTCTCTCCTTTTACCCTCTCTGCCTGCAAACAGAAAAAAAAAAACTCACAGAGGCAAAATGAAGAAACATCCAAAGAACACCACCTGACTCGATCCGTGGACGCCGGTTTCTGGATAAGCTTTGGGACTTCAACTCCTCAAGCTGGATTTGCCTTCTTTGGGCTCATTTCTCAGTCACATTTTATGATTTTAATCAGCATTTTTTGGGGCTTTTTTCTTTATTTTTTAAAAATATCATACGGTTCAAGATGTCAGTGGCAGTCGGTGTGCTTGACTCACAAACAAAAAGCTTAAACGGGAGCACTTTTTTTGACCGTGGCTCTTTGAAAGAGCAGGAACTTCCACCTCCCCTCCGGAGCTATCTTTGCTTGACCATGTTGGCGTGCTTCTGTCCGGCGTACCCTGTCAACATAGTGGCCCTGGCTTTCTCTGTCCTGGTAAGCATGGACTACACAGACCGACCCAGCTGGATTTTAACAATTTATATCTTTTTCACATGAAATAGCATGTCAGAGAGGCGAAAAGGAGAAACGCGCGGAAGGAAAGGGTGTTTCTGAAATACTGCGGTGACGCTGCCCTCTGACCTGCGAGCGAATCTGTTGGACCCTGAGATGTAACACAGTCACACACACACACACCTGCTCCGCCTGTCAAATAAACTTTATCTTCTATTTTTATCCCCTTACTGATTCTAACAACGACAGGACTTAAGTCCATCAAAGCCAAAGTTCACCTTTGCCACGTTTCAACCACAATCTGTAATGTCTCTCATTGTGTTTTTGATATAGACCAGCACTCAATACTGTGTAAAAGTGACAATAATGGATGATTTCTTTAGATTTCTGTAACAAATAAAAATGGGTAAAGTTGGGCACCCATTTGTGCGTAGAGCGTTTCCAGCTCAGTCTGACGTAGGAGCGTCTCAGGCAGGACGCTTTGGAAACGCAGGACCACCTTCTCGCATGCTGCAGAGATGCATCTAATTGAAAGACACAAATAATTAATATCGTTTTCTTTTCACTTACTAATTACATTCTGCTTTATTTTGCTCAATCATATAAAAAGTTTGAGTTTGTAGTGATCAAATGGGAAGATTTAGTCACTATACATGTCGCTATACAAGTTATGAATAAAAATAGAAATTTAAAGGTTAGAATGCTGAATGTTTACAGTACCAAGTTTGTGTGTTATAAATCTGTTTTGATGTGTTTTATCTTAATGCACGCTGAGATTAACTATGCATCTGCCCTGCGCCAAAAGTTACTGTATAAATAAAGTTGCCTTTCCTGCTGTGCCCGTCTTTTATTTCCCAGTCTAGGAAAAGTTACTACCAAGGTGACTATGACGGTTCCAGGACGCTGGGCAGGAGCGCCTTATACGTCTCCATAGCGTCCATCCTCATCGGCCTTCTCGTCATCGCCGTCACCTGCATCGTTCATTTCACCACGGTGAGTCAGGCAGCCTGGCTCGATCAGCAAACAAAATGCTGCGACGCGTCAGAGTCAAAAAGCTTCTTTGATGTTTGTGTTTTCTAGTAGGTCTCGGTTTTATTGTACGCCTGTGTGTCTTTCAGATGGATTATTAGCAGTGAGAAGGGAGAATAAATATGAGACAAAGCAACAGAAACTGCTGGATGATGGTATCTGGACCGGCTCATGTTACTCCCCCCCTTGACGGGAAATGACTCATTTTTACTGCTTCCTCTAACTCATTTCCCCCCCCCATCTTTCCTCTTTTCATTTGAACAATCAATATAAATGTGATAAATTTCTACGCTTGATATCCCACTTGATTTCTCCTCAAATGTAGATTTCTAGAAGCAAGGGAAATCTAATAATTTTAGTTTCTACGAGGCTAAGACACAGGTGTGTCTTTTCCTACAGTAAGCACAGATTCAGACTGAAGACAGTGCTCTAATCTATAGCTAGTTTCTTGAAGCCATTCCTTGACTTTAAAAAGATCAACATTTATCTGCCCCACCCAAATAGAATGCCCTGTTGTTTCTTATTTTGAAGAGAGCCAGAAAGTCATGCATTATTTATTAATAGTCCTTTTTGACACTAAAAGAAAAATCCACTCCCATTTGTGCCAAGGATTATTGTCCTGGAGACTTAGCATAGTAAGTTTTCTGAAAACTGCAGTATGAAATTATACTCCTGCACTTACGTTTGAATTTATTTTAAGGCTTTTTACCCACCTTTACCTGAGGTACCAATGATGTCTCTGTATTTGAGTGTCAATATTACAAGGTAAATAACTTTTCTTGATAAAGTATGATTTTTCTATAAATGTGTCTTTTCAGAAAAAACTGAAAACTTACTTTCAACTTCTCCAAATGTACCATGCCATTAAAAATGTATTTGCACTCTAATGAGTTTCTTGTCTTTGATCAAACTTCATGTTGCAGATGATCACACACATTTTAACATCAGACAAAGACATCCTGTCAGTTCCTGGATTGTTTTGTGGTTTGATTTTAGTTTCAATATTCAGTGTTCCTTAGTCTCTTAGTTTGATTAGTTTTGTTTTTGTTTTACTTTAGTTCAGTGCTTTCTTAGCAAGTCTGGTTATTCTTTAGTTTCTTACGTTTAGTTATTTTTTAAAGATGAATGTTTTTAGTCCCCGGTGTGCTCTCCTCCGCCTGTCTTCTGCTCTCACCCCTCACACCTGGAACCTGTCAGGTAATCGGCCCAGGTCCTTTGGTCCATCGTTCACTCTCCCAGTACTGAAACACCTTCTTTCCTCTCACTCCTTTCTCCAGCAGGAGGAACTCCTTGCTGGTTCCTCCAGCTAGATCCTGTTCCCAGTCAGGCTTCTCATGACTTTGTCTGTCCCTGGTGCTTTTTGTTCTCCACTGGGTCCCTGTTCTCTCTTCTTTTTTTTTTTTCTCAGTCTTTCTGCTTTACGGTTCTCTTTAACCAACACTTCATGGCCACATCCTAAGTAATGACAAAATTGTGCTTTCAAATTATGATTTAAGTTCTCAAGGGCAAACAACTGACCAAATCACTCAGGCCTGAACCTAACAGCTGTCACCAAGTGTTTGTGATCATTGGTGAGGATGATCTAGTTTCATTCTTTGGGCACCTGGAGGTCACACGTAAGCGATGTAGTAAATTCAGCCTTGATCTGGATTTGGAGCATCCATTATTTTAAGGACACTCAGAATTCATACAGCTGATTGTCAATTTTTTCTTTTTTTACGATGTTAAGAGTTTTTTACGCAGTCTGAAAACTTGCATCAATATGCGTGTGAAGTAACCTTTGAACTGAATAGCTGATTATAGTTTGAAAAACCGGTTTAAAAGATCTAACGCTTTAAATCTTTTGAAGTACCCAAAAGGACTCCTTTCCTTACTTCACTCTGGAGTTACAAAGAACAACTACAATGTCACTTTGAGTTTGCCGTAAGTGCTGAGATCAACTCATCCTCCGCTCACCTGCCTGCTCAGAGTGACAGAAGTTTTCACCTGCGGAGTTCAAACCTTGACGGAGGTCTGCAGTTCCTGTCTTTGTTGTGCGTCCCGTCAGTCGTGTTAGGGAGGTTCTGGTCTGGATTCCCCCCCAACACCAGTACTGATTCAACTCATTTGGACACTTCCAGTCTGATTCCTCGGCAAAATTATGCCATGGCTGCGCCGTAAAACGACGTGTTTCATGGCTATTGCTTTGATATTGCGCCATGGCTCACACACCGAACGTGTTCATGACGTGCTGCTCCAACATGAGTTGAACTTTCTGAAGAAAGCTGCAGTAGGCTAACGTTCTGACACATAACATGGAACAAACATCATCACTTATTTCTGAACAAACATTGGAGGAGTCAAACTACCGTCTTCGAAAAGCTCAAGATCCGCTTCTGCTAATGTCTTCAAGGGAAGCAGACAGCTGACGTGCTAGGCCGACGTTAGCATGGTTATGCTAGGTTCTTTATATGATATATTGCACAAATCAAAAATAATAACACAAAAGAAAGCAAAATCTGTTCCCCTACTTTACAAACTTTATGATTCGCTTGATGTATTGGGAAATTATTTGATAAGTGTTTTAGCTGCTCTGTGTTTAGATGAGGAAGGGCGACACAGACAGGCTAGCAGCTGTAGCGACAGTGTTGCCAGATCCATCCATCCATCCATCCATCCATCCATCCATCCATCCATCCATCCATCCATCCATCCATCCATCCATCCATCCATCCATCCATCCATCCATCCATCCATCCATCCATCCATCCATCCATCCATCCATCCATCCATCCATCCATCCATCCATCCATCCATCCATCCATCCATCCATCCATCCATCCATCCATCCATCCATCCATCCATCCATTTACAGCAGTGTGCAGTCTTCCTCTCATATTGATGGACCACACCCTTAAGAAAACTGACATCCGAAAACTGCTCTTTCTTTCTCCTGAGGTCAAGTTTGTCAGAAAATAACGTTAACCTAATGACGAGAAACAGACAAATGTAACCCAAAAAAAAAAAAAAAAAAAAAAGCAACAACAAAAGCGATCCAAGTAGGCGAAGACGTTTTTTCACAGCACAGAGAAACGGTCGTGTCAGTCCGAAATGTTATCTCTTCTGCATTACTTCCCACATGTGCAAACGACTCTTCCCTGTCGTTTGATATGTCACAGTAGATGGCCGGCCAAAAATAGAAGACTGGTCTCCATGCAGCCGACTGCCCACTCCATCACACGGTCAAACAAAACCGGCCCTGCTGCGGAGTGACTGGACGTGCAAAAAGAGGCCGAAAAGGTAGGAGGGAACAAAAGTGATGATTCAGATGAGGTTAGGGGAGCTCCACGATCCTCCGAGCCTGTTTCAGCTCATGACTCATTCCAGTTTTCTCATTGTTGTTATTTAAAGCATCTCTTCCCAACTGTTTTTAGACATTTCAGGCCTCCTTGAGCTAAAAATTGAGGCCAGAGCGCCCTTGATGACACAAATAACACCTACATGCAATACACACACACATAAAAAAACAACAACCCTTCAGTGAAAACATATCTCCTCCGTGCAGGTGGAAGTCAAAAGCAGCCCCCCTCGGAGAATCAGGTTCGATGCAGTCATTGTGATGCACTTGTACGAGTCAGTTTTAGCAGTAATCTTTGCTCTATTATCTCCTGTCAGTTGAAAGGGAAATGCAACATGATTGTAGCGCATGCCTCTTTGATGTCGGACCAAAGCAAAACTCGAGAGGATGAGATGAAAAATGAGGGCCGGGATTAGGCGACTTGAAAGAATTTAGGCAGATTATCAAGGGATCAAGGTAGACTTTGTGTCAGCAAACCGACCGACGTACCGCGCGGACGGGGAAGGGAGAAAAACCAAACAGATGCAATTAATCGAAGCAAATTCAGATCAGCTTTATTTTTGTGTTACTTATTTGATCTCTTTTACGCGCTCGCCTCAAAACCCATTTGATGTCTTTCTTTGCCAGACGACATCACGTCACCTGTAGCCAACCTGCTGCGTTATTAGCAGCAGGTTGTATGTTTTGCTGGCCGTCCATGACTCTTGTGAAGTGCTGAAGTAGGCCTCTCAGACGAGCTCCCTCCATTAGCACCACATACTCCATGTACACATATCTCATGACAACATTCCTCCTATTCTGGAGTTGCATGCAGCTGCATAAATGAAACGTGATAATGGTGGGAGCGAGGCAGAGCAGGCAGAGGACATGAAATGCATCCAGGTTAGACGAGATTAAAGACATCAAAAGCACTCTCGGGTATTCGGCTTTTTTGCATAAAAAAAAAAAAAGCTGTTTCATGTATGGTAAAATAAACGGTGCGTACGCAAACCTTCACGTAACGTATTTGACAACCAACAGTCGCCGGTCCTCAGATTCAGCCGATGGGGCATTACGTGCATACATTACATTTAATTTATGAATTATGGTCCTTGATGTCAGGATTTTTTTCCCCCAAATTGTTTTATATATATATATATATATATATATATATATATATATATATATATATATATATATATATATATATATATATTAAAGCATAAAAAAGAGTGGAAATAAATAAGTAAAAAATTCTAGGTGATCAGTTGCAATTTTCTCAAAATACAAAGTTGTCATTTGGAAAATACATCAGTAGTATAGTTCTTTAGGGGTAACTTGATGCCACAATATATATATATATATATAATATATTTTTTTACCCTCAAGAGTCCTTTATGCTAAAAAGAGGGACTGGATATTGAGTTGCTTTTTCATCCATCTGCTATATTGGATTTAACAAAATTGTTGTTGCACTTGCAGTGGATGGCCAGTAGTCGATAGTGTGATGTATGTTGCACTTGTGTCCACTTCAATGCTTCCTGTGCATTTATAACATAAATATATGTGGGAAAGGCAAGAAAATTGACTTTTAGATTTCTGTCCACTGCAGTGACCTCTATGCATGAAAGACTGAAGACAGGCTGCAGACTGTTTTAAAGATCAAAACAGCTCAGAGGAGCTACAGTAATGTGAGAGATTTTGTATGTGTGAGACATACCGGTCACGAGATTTATAAATTCGAACAAGCTAAAGTCTGAAAGACACGACGAGCAGAGTCTGATTGCTACTGCAGGTAAACTGAGCTAAATCATCTCTAGTGGATTGAAGCTGCAGCTGCAGCAGTCTGGTTCTCCCTGTTCTGTGGGATCACTTATCATCAACAATCTCATTCTGTGAAAAAAATAAAAATATATATAGAAGACATGTTGATAAGGAATTAAACAGAGGGGCTCACGTCAGCAGAACGCTTCAGGACTTCTCAGGTCCGTCCCGCGTCTTCTCCTTGTTCTCTTCTCCACATCAGGCTCACCCATTTGGGGTTTCTTCTGCATAATTCAGGAGTTAATGACCTTTCAGAAAGAGTCTAATATGAGCCACTGTTCATTAGCGATTTCAGAGGCCAGTATCTCAGATGAATTAATCAGCGGCGCTGCTGACGACCAGCAGAGCCTCTCTAATCATACTACTTATAAGGATCCACCAACACAAACATCTAAAGACACATTGAGTATCTCCGCCCTTTTCCGGCGTTGCTGACCTTTATGCTTCAGTCCAGATAGATTATGTCCTTACTTCATTGAGCAGTTTTTGTCAGGATGTGGATATTTATTTCTGCCTAATAAACCAGTATTATTACATCACTGTGTGGACATACAGGTACGAATCTTAGCAAAAGTGTTCACATGTCGTGTTAGAAGAAACTTTAATAAAACGTGACAAACCAAAACAAAGTAATGAATTGTTATCTCTCTGTTTGCTTGTTTTTTCAAAACAGATGAAATGTTTGATCTCAAAGAAACAACAGGTATAAATAAATAAAGGTGAAATAAACTAATTCATGTGAAGTGG